GTTTCTCCTAGCATTCTCTAGTCCGCAAGCCTACTCGTCAAGCTTTTGTAACCACAGAGAGAGAGAGAGAGATGGCTACATTTCTATTTGAAACACATGTTATATGCGGCCCACTCTACATTTCTATTTCAAACGTGTTATGTATGGTATTGGTGAAAGCTTTCCCCATGCTACATTAATTTCCTCGCATTATATAATTTAAAAGTTATACACAAGGGAAAAGTTTATATAGAGCCGAGGCTCTAAACAATCAAATTAAACGCCCCCTAAATTTTTTTTACTAGATGAGGTTATTTTGATGCCCAAATATCATCAAATTGATCATCTTGATATAAGATACATGGATATGAGAAAAAAAAGGATTTCAAGTTTTGGAAATAGAGCATCTTGTAACATATTTTGGATTGTCAATTTTCAAAATTTTCATTTGTTTATAAATCTGTTCGATCTATACTATTTTTGAAGCTTTAAATTTTATAATTAAAGATGAAAATATATTTTAAAGCTATCACAAAGATTTCCAATATTGAAACTACATTTCGTGATATTATTTGAAGGTGAGCTCTAAATTTATTGTTTAGAGCCTCCGCTCTATATGGCAAAGTTTCTAAAAAGCTTCCTAAATGATCCCATTTCAGCAAATCAACCGTGGGACCATGGCAAAGTCAAGATGCTAGGAAGCTTTTTAAATGATCAGATTAAAATAAATCAACCATGGACAAATCAACCAGTGATTCGATTTCAATTTCAGCAAATCAATCGGGACCATGGGCAAAGTCACCTGGAAGCTTTCTAAATGATCCGATTTCAGTAAATCACCCGTGGACAAACCATCCAATGATCCGATTTTAGCATATCAACAGGGACCATGGGCAAAGTCAAGATAGGAAGCTTTCTAAATGATCTGATTTCAGTAAATCAATCGTGGACAAACTAACCAATGATCCAGTTTCCGCAAATCAACCGAGACCACGGCAAAGTCATGATGGCAAGAAGCTTCCTAATGATCCATTTCCACTAAATCAACGGCGGACAAATCAACCAATGATCCAATTTTAGCAAACCAACGGGGACCATGGGCAAAGTCCAGATGCCAAGAAGCTTTTTAAATGATCTGATTTCAATAAATCAACCGTGCACAAATCAACCAATGGTCCGATTTCAGCTAATCAACCTAGATCATGGACAAAGTCGGGATGCCATGATACTTTCTTTCTTTAAGATCATTACTCTTTTCTTCCCTGCATTGGTTGTAGTTTTTCTCTCTAAAATTTCAATATGCTTTCTCTTTAAGACTTAAAATTTGATATAGTTTATCTCCATAAAAAATTTGAGATAGTTATTCTCTTTAAAAAAATTCAATTAGTTTCTCTCTCTAAAATTTGATATAATTTTTCTCTCTTTAAAATTTTAAGATTCTTTCTCTTGATAAAACTTTAAATTTGTGATAGTTTCTCTCCCTAAAAAGTTTCAATTATTTTGTGTCTCTAAAATTTGATATAGTTTATCCGTCTTTAAAATTTTAATATATTTTCTTTCTCTAAATATTAAAATTTGAGATAGTTTGTCACTCTAAAATTTTTTAGATAATTTCTCTCTCTAAAAGCTTTTTGGTACGTTCTCTCTCTTTCAAAATTGATATAGTTTATCTCTCTAAATTATAAAATACTTTCTCTACTTATAATTTAAAATTTGAGATAGTTTCTCGCTAAAATTTTTGAGAAAGTTTATCTCTCTAAAACTTTTGAAGCACATTCTCTCCTAAACTTAACATTTGAGATAGTTTATCTCTCTAAAATTTTAAGAGACTTTTTCTTGTTAAAACTTAAAATTTGAAATAGTTTTTCTTCCTAAAAATTTTCACTCATTCATTTACATCTAGGTCTTTTTTTTTTTTTTACTTTTATAAGAGACATAATGGTTATCGTTCATCAACATTCAACCCATAAAAATATGGGTGACTGTATTAAAAGGGAAACTAATAAAAAAGAGAATTAATAAAAAAAACAAGGGGATGTATCAGGAATTATTTATACACCATTGTTTTACTTCTATGAAATAAGGTATTTCTTCAATAAAAATGCCAACAAATTATTGATTGTGAAAGGGATGCAACGAACACCATCAGTCAAACAAGTTTTCAATATTTATGCATTTTCTTTTGAGGATTGATGTCTGGTATTATGAAAAAATAGATCTGTCAAGGTGGAGTCAAATAGACAACTCCGGAGGGCCGTTAAAAGCCCGAAGAGAGGCCAGGTAGACTCGATGGACTCGGCCCCTGCGAGGGTTCGAGGGCGACAGATCCCAAGGAAATTTTTTTGCATCTGTATATGGGGTATTTCGATAATTTGTACCATCTGCCTGGGACTATATATATTGCTGCGATGGGGTCTTTTTAGGTTAAAGAAAAACAAAGATTTCTTTGTAATATGGAAATAGAGAGAGAGGTGTGAGGAAGAGAGCCATTGAAATCTTATTCTCCATTATCAGTAAAGAAGCTCTCATCTCCCCGTGACGTCGGCACGTTGTCGAACTATGTATATCTTTGTGTTGTGGTTGGATGTCTCTTTCCTTTGTATTTGTTTTTTTTTTTTGTTTCGTGAATTGTTTTCGTTTTTACATTTTCAACATAATGCAACTAACATATTTTTTTTTAGAAACATAAGAAGCTAGATTTTAAATAAATTTTCGTTATTTTTGGAAGTTCTCTTAGGTCAAAGCTATCCAATTCTCCGATATGGATCACCAATCCATCAATCTAACCCGATTTTTTGATGATCGATCCATAACATCGATCTGTTTTTAAAACTAAAACAATCCTTATAATATATATAAACGTTCTCATACAATCCCTTAAAATAATTTTAACTTAAAATTTAAAATTTATTTTCTTTTAAGATTGATGAATGTGGGCGTATAGGACAAGTTATCTCTCTGTCAAGACAGCTACTTCGCATGCCAAAGACCCATTCTTGTTGAGACCCTTTGCCTTCCACATAAGAGCAATCCCAATGGGACAACACCCATATAACTCCATTTCAGATTACCAAAATAAAAGGGACACGGTTTTAATGAGTCCACGTAGAAATGGTGAGTCCCCTCTTAAAAAAAACTATTTTTGAGATATAATTTTTTACCCAATTTTTAAGGATATATAATTTTTTGGAGATCATGAATATGAAAAAAATAAATAAAATTTTAAATTTTAAAAATAACAATTTTATAAAAAAAATATTTGGACGGTTAGTTTCGACTGTTTTTTAAAATATTTGCATCCATCTTTTTATACCTCGGGGGATGCAAATGTAGAAATTCTTCTCTGTACTCATGAAACAATTTTCCTTTTGCTTTATAATGTTAAAAGGAAAAAGTTTATAAGGTGTCAACCTTATACTCTAAGTAAGGTGCACCTTAAAAACCCACTAGCGAGAAAACCCTCAAATCCGTCATCTCGACCTCGAGATTCATAGACATGAAGAAAAAGCGAATTCTAGTATGAAAAATAGTTCATCTTCTAACACATTATCTGGATTGTTCGTTTTTTAAATTTTCAAGTGTTTATAAATCTGTTCGATCATTCTCATTTTTAAAACTTTAAATTTCATAATTAAGAAAGACAATATATTTTTCATATTGCTTTACGGTACCAAAACTGTATTTTCGCCTAGTTTTGAGATACGCCTCCCATGTTAGAATGTTTATCTGCGCACTTTACGGGAAGCTTACGAAATGATCCCCATCAACCGTCCACTCATGGGATCTCCGGAATGCCTCCCATGTTAGAATGTTTATTTGCGCACTTCACGGGAAGCTTACGAAATGATCCCCATCAACCGTCCACTGATGGGACCTCCGGAATGCCTCCCATGTTAGAATGTTTATTTGCGCACATTACGGGAAGCTTACGAAATGATCCCCATCAACCGTCCACTTATGGGACCTCCGGAATCAAGCAATTCGACCGTGGACTATGGGAAAATCAGCATAGATCAAAACTTTTTGACCACGTTACGTTGTTCAGACAACTATTGACCACGTGAAGCTGACGTAGCAAACAAAAATTGTTTTATGCGGCATGGACCGCATTTTTTACATTTGCTGCCCCCGAGGTAATAAAGCAAGCATCCAAATAGGTGGTCTATTTAAAAATAATTTAAATTAACAGTCTAAATATTTTATCGATAGACTTATTATTTTAAATTTTTAAATTTATTTATTTATTTATATTCATGATCTCTTGCGTAAAAAAATCTCCCTCAAAAATAGATTTTTAAGAGGTGTCTTCTGCATGGGCTAAAAGAGTGTTCAGCAAATCAACGGTAGACCACATGCAAACTTTTGACACGTAAAAAAAGTTCCATTTTCACCTATTCAACCGTTTGACGACGATTGCCCAAATTTGGGTAGGGTAGGTGTAGTTTGTATGGCGGCGAGGTTCTAAACATTCCAAGTAAACCGCACCTTCAAATAGAAACGTGATCTTAATATTTATGATAGCTTTAAAATATATTTTTATATTTAATTATAAAATTTAAAGCTTTATAGAATATATATATGAAAACTTGAAAATCTTAAAAATTGACACCTAAAAAAATACGTGCATTATTTTCAAAACTTGAAATCTTTTTTTGTTCATGTCCAAGCATCATAATTTCAAGATGATCAATTTAAAGATATTTGAGCATCAAAACAACCTCTTCTAATGAAAATTTTTAGATAGATTTTAATTTGATTGTTTAGAGCCTCGGCTCCACAAAAACTTCTTTTTTATCAATTGAATTGCAACCCATGGAAAAATCAGGACAGTCAAAACTTGCCAGGCTTATAGGGTGGAAGTCGTCCCTCGCTTTCGATGCCCTCTTAAACCAATAAAAAATGTCTTTTAAAAATTGGTCAGATAAGTTTCGCTGAATGAAACCTTCAGCTTTCTTGGTCCTATAAGATCCCATTACGCCTGTGAAAAGCCATTTCGTTCTTCATCCGTGATTTTGAGGCATTTTCATCTAATTTTAGCTGAAAAAGGTCTCGGATCTGAAGCTTTTCGGTGAAATATTGGGGTTTTCGTGGCTTCATTTTGTGTATTTCACTAGCAAGGCTCTGGAGTATCAGTGCCCCCGTTTTAAATCATCAGAAAACGCAAAAAACACCAAGGTATCGTTTGGAATCTTGGATGCCAGGAAATATTGTCTCAAAAAAACTATTTCCTGTGAAATATGTTTCATGGGAAAAGTAGTTCTTGTAATTTCTATTGTTTGGGTGGTACATCCAATCATAATATTTTTCACGG